CTAAGGAAATTTAAAAGTTTTATTAACACTTTGGGTACTTTACTGGTTAGTTAGTTTTGCGGCCATTCAATAAATTTACCATAATTGAAGAATGTGATTTTGAAAGGGAGAAAACTTTTGTTACACAATTCTAACAGTTTTTACACAATAATAACACTTTTTACATGTTATCAAAACATTTACTTTATTTTTTTCTCTCCTTCTTTTCGTTGTTTCAAATGGTTTCCCGCCAGGGCTATCAATGAAATTCAACTCAAACGAATCTAGCGTTTTTTCGATGTCCGAATGTATGTGCGTACCCTGTACGCTGTACTCTGTACGCAGAAATTTAACACGATAACTTTCAACCAAGAAAAGTAATTCAAAATCTGACTTCACAGGATGATTGGGGGTGCCGAGGAATAGAAACCATTAGATTTTGGGTGACTTTGGTTGATAGAGTGAAGTTTCATTTGCACAGGTTATTTTTTTCACACAAAAATAACATTTCGAGAGTTTGAAGAGATTTCAATGCATATTAGGGGTACCACACGCACGAAAATTCTGTATGGGAGGTACCACTCAATTGTATTGAAATTTCTTCAAACTTTCAGAAAGTTAGCTTTTTTTGAAAAAAATAACATCTGCAAATTTTCACATGATTACGATATCATACAGGCATTGAAAAGTCTATCAAAAATTATTTGTATCGCAAAACTTATATCAGATTCAGTTTTCTCATGAATTCATATTTACGGTAAAAGATATGTAATAAATGCATGTTATGAATCACAGTGCAAAGTTCATCTTACGGTAAGACATTTTATTGTTGTTTCAAATTGAAATTAAAATAAAAATTGGAGTCCAAACTCAAAAATGTAGAAATATTTTTTTTTTGAAAAAATCGTTATTTGCATTTTACACTTAGCTTACCAATCCAACCATTTCATCTATTTTGCTATTTTGATACTTTGTGTAACATTTGTCAAAATTTGTGTAGCATTTGTCACATGCGTGTGTGAATTTGTCAAAATCTGTGTAAAATTTGTCACTTTTGTGTACAATCTGTCACTTTTGTGTAAAATTTGTCATTTTTGTGTAACATTTGCCGGCTGCCTGCCTTTGGTACTGTATATATAATCTCATGCACCCTTTCTGTATATTAAAAAAATGCTTAGTATTTTCTGTATTGAATCAATTTTTAATTGAGCTCGCATTCTTATTCAATCACTTCTCATAATAACATTGGCAATTAAAAAAACAATGAATAATTTATAATTTATATCTCAAATATTCTATTGGATTCATCCTACCATTTCATAAAATTTTATTTGATTTGAAATATTCACTTGTTAAAATGGATTCGGTAAGTGTTACGAAAAAACATTTTACATATTTAAAACAATGTTATTTTGTCAGTCGACTATTAACAGTAATTTTATCAACATGATAGCAAGACAAGTTTGTCATGAACGCCACCTACAATGTAATTATCTAATTTCAGACTTGGCAAAACGTTCTTTTTTTAACTTAATTTTTTATATAAAAATAATTTTGCTATAATGCTGTGAAACTAACTAATTTCGAAGGCTCACTGGGTGTTGCCAAATCTTTGTTTTGAGCACACGTGGGGATAGCAACGGGTAAAGTTGGAGTTAGACCTGTTGATGTGAAAATATAAAATAAAACGATTAATCGTCTGAACAAAGCAGTACCAAATTTAACAAACCTGTTCCACCGTCCATTAAACTATCAAAATTGAATGCCACCACATTTGAAGGTGTTGTTATTTGGACACCAGCTATGTCCGCAATATTTTTGTGTAAACCAATAGTTTGTGATGGTGGAGCCGTAAACGGAACATTTAAAGAACTGGGCCGAGCGATTGGTTTTGATGATACATCTGATATTACCGGGTTTGCAGTAGACATAAGATGTTTATTTGGCGGGGACACATATTCATATGTGGGATCATCTACTTCAACCTTTATTTTACCAATCAATGGCATGTGTATTGGTTCTTTGAATTCAAGCTTTGATTTTAGTTCCACCACTTTCGACATGCCGGCACAGTTGAGTTTACACTGATTTCGATGTGATTGCAATAAACATTCCTACCATTTCATAAAATTTTATTTTCACTTGTTAAAATAGATATTTGTAAATTTTGGTAAGTGTTATGAAAAAATTTTACATATCACTCACCAAGTCCTCTTTTTCAGTTTGAAGATCTTGAATATCACGCTGAAGTTTATTTTTCTCGTTTTCCAAAACTTGCACTTTACCTAACAAATCATTCGTTTGATCAACACGACGCTTACGACATCGGGCTGCTGCTAATTTATTTCGTTCACGACGAATTCGACGTTTTTCCTCTTCTTCTGGGGATAAATTAGCTGCATTTTCTGGTCTCCTTCCACCTAAGAGAAAAAATTAAAAAAATGGAAATTAATCCACACAAAAGGAAATGAACAAAACAATCGGCGACTCGTCACAGTGAATAATTATGTTCTTAATTTGTTCCTTAGCATCGAAAGTTAAAGTTTCGGCCACACATTTATTCCTAACTAGGAAAATGAAGACGATATTCGGAGAATATATTTCATTTTTACTGTTATTATTTGTCATTTCTCTGAAACTTCCATATTTTTCGCACTTAATATGAATTTACTTTATTTCTTATATAGAAATGTGAAACAGTCTATCTACACCTCTCTATACAATGGGGATTTCTTGTTGTTCTGTTCATCTCTCTGTTACCAGTGGTAACTTACCATCAAATCTTAATTCTTGAATAATCTTTGTTTTAAAATTTGAGAATTTTCATTTATATTTTCGTTTTCACTTTCTAAGTTTTTTTATATATCACAGCGGACGGTAGTACGCGCGAGTGACGAAACCACATTAGTGTGTTGAAAAGTCGACTTGCTATATATACATGTAATTTCCAAATTCCAACCTTCAGCCGCGATTGGTGTATGGTTGGAAAGCCAAAGGGCCATAGATCAAGGAAACATATCAAAGTTTGAAAATTCGGTCCACCTGTCTTCAAAATATGACCCTTTCAAGAAAAGAGTCCAAATTCAGTTCTACGGCCATATATGGCACCTAATGAGGTCGTTGATACCTGAAACATCGGTATTCTGATTCTAGAGCTCAATTACTTTCGAACGATACCTCAAACGTCGAAATCGAGCAATCCGTTCGAAAAATTATTATTTTAAAAATTTCATATGAATCTCTATGAAAAATCAAAATATCTGTGTGTGTCTCCGCGATTTTGCGTACTCGATTCTGATCTTTTTGAAACTTTCTGTGATTAAAGTACACAAGAAATTAAGAGTTTTTTGTTCTGGCACTTTTCGATTTGGCCGCTATGTTGGCCGTGGCTGGGCTCCAAAAGTCACTTTTTGACTTATGTCCTCACGGTCACCGAGGCACATACACTTGACACACCCCGGACATATGCACACATCCAAATTTGGGAGGCCAAAAACCAAAAATTTACCGGCCGGACACATAACGGCTATTACCTCGAAAGCCAGCCTAACTTAGTGCATTGAAAATTTCACCAATTTAAGGCCCAAGTCTAAGCTAAAAACACCGCATAGCTTATATCCCAGAAAATTCTTGTTTTCAAGATATGGCCTTAGATAGTGCAAATATGGCCAAAAATTGCCATTTTTTCACACGGTCGCTATGGCACCTAGCCTTGACATACCCAGGAATTATGCATATTCGTTGGAAATTGCGACTTTAAAATTTCATGTGGGGGTGGCCAAATTGGCCAAAAATCAAAAATTGACCGTTAGCCGCACACAAAACGGGCATTTTTTCGAAAAAGACATATATTCTTTTGATAGTTTCATCAATTTAAGCCTCAAGTCAAAGATAAAAAAATGTGCATACCACAGACCACTGAAAAATACCTCTGTTTCTCATAATTTGTATAATTTTGTTCCAAAAATAACCTAACAATCCATATTTTCATTGTATTTGAAAAATATTCAAATTCACGTGTCTTGAATCTTTAACTTGGAAAATAGCGCTTACAAAACTATTGATTTAAAATAAAAATTCTGACGAGGTAAAGAGCGAGTGACGAAAATGTGAAACACAAAATTTCTGATATCAATTTTGTGACGAAAAAAAATAAAAACCTAATATACATTTGAATGGCTCGGAATAATAATGACTTCAATTTTTTAAAGGCGTCTCCATCTTATGGAAATTTTCATAAGGGAGAGCAGGACGTAAAATCATTAAAGTCACTATTATTCTCACCCATTCATTTGTATATTTGGAATGTTGCATTGCGTCACCAGTCCATGCTGACAGTAAAAAGAGAGGAATTTCTACAACGTTTTGAATGTTTAAATGTAAATTAAGTTTTTATTCACAGTAACCGGAGATTGCGTTGACATATTTATATGTAAACGTCACTGGCATCTAAACCGATGACGCCATCTTTGGTTACACAGCAGTAGCTATTTCTGAGACAAAATTTTCACTTTAATTTAAAATAAAATAAAAGAATTTAATTTTAATCCCACATTTTTTGAAAAAAATCCTAATTTAAATCATTGAAACCATATTCATTAAAATCATTTGTTGATACAAAATTCATTTTATTATAAATTGCCATCGATTCGAAGGAGCGAAATTGACAGTAAAGTACACTGTAGAGATTAAAGAAACAATACATACACAAGCATCACATTTACGCTTAAAGTGGTCATCACAGAAACGAAGCTGAGCATGCGCACATGTATAAGTATTTTCATACACAGCATGTTTCGTTCTTCTGTTATAAAGTGTGGTGTTTGTCTGTATATATTGTTTCTATATGCTTACTCCATGAAATCGACGACAATTAAAAAAATGAATTCAAAAAATTGTTTCAAGTTTTGTTTTAATATTTTACCTGAGGATTTTTCAAATAGTCGGGATTAGACTTGAACCCTTTTTGAATTTATATTAAACTATTTAATTTGAACCAAAAAAAAATTCGCAACAGATGGGGAACAAGAGATGGCGTTGTCGTAGATTTGGGAACGGACAATAGTCATCATATTACCGGGTTTATTCACAGCACACAGAAAAATTATCTATCATTTATTTTCGTCACAAAATTGATATCAGAAATTTTGTGATTCGTCACTCGCTCTTCACCTCGTCAGAGGTTTTTTATTTGATAGATTGTACTACACATTGAAAATAATAGAAAAATAATTGAAAGAATGGAAAGTAATTTTTAAAGTGATTACCCCCTCGTCGTCCACCCATATTGCGTTTTGAGTTTGATTCTGTATGTATGTGAAGAAAATTATCAATTTATTGAATTATTTTGGATATAAAAGTAGTGTTACCTTTAATTGTAATTATTTCTGAAGCGCTTTCTTCTAAATTTTCTTGCTTGGGTGTTGAAGTTTGCCAGGATTCGCTTGAACTAGTGCCTGTTGAACCCAAACTATGGTCTTGTGATTCTGGTTCAAATTGAAATGTTGGTAATGGTGGTACAAAGCCTGCTTGGCATGGAACTGTACTTGAAGTGTCGTTGGTTAATTCCAGAAATGTCTATAATTGAACAAACACAAATCTAATATAATGATATATAGTTTTTTTTTTTCAAATTTCCTCATTAATTTCAATCTTATAGATCATATTTACTCGTATGATTTTATTAAAACGTTCTATAATCAAAAAAATTATTGCTCTAAATAAAGCTTAGTCGAAATGCTATATCAAAAAAATTCATAATTATAATGAATCTTTATATACAATTTCTCTTGAAATTGATGCTCAATTTATCAAAAATATCTTACTTGTTCAATATTTCTGAGTGTCGTCGGTGTAAGTGTAGAAGTAGTTCTAGTAGGTACTCCACTATGGATTCCATCTAAAGAGACAAGCTGTAAAGGAATTCCAAATAATTGAAAGCATTAATTATTGAGTGTTCTAAAAATATATGATAAGAGTGTTAAACAATTTTTAAAAAATTGGCTGACAAAAATACAAAGATCTTAAGGATTCAATTTTGTCATATTCCTATTTAATAGGTATTTAAAAATTTCGAACTGTGCGAGTTGATTGACTTTTTTTTGAAAGAGAAGACTTACAGACTTTTCTTCCTGCACATTGTAAAAGGTTGTTTCCATACGATTTCAACAACAATAACAATCATTTATAGACCGATTGTACCTTTCGGTGTGTGGCCTTTTACGAAACGACTAGACTCAAATTCCTCTAAAAATTCCTCTCCAAACTCCCCTATCCTCTATTTACGATTTCAAATTTACAAAAAAATATTTTTTGTATTTAACCCTCTAAAATTCATTAATTTTTTTCGACATGAAAACTATTTTTCTTTGATTATTTTGATTTATAATTCCTTAAAAATTTAACCGAAATTCAAAACATTGCATAGTTTACTCAAAAAATGCTATTGACAAAATCGAAGAACAATCGAAACCATTATTTAAACTGCTATAAACAAAGGAAGAGATATTTTTTTGTCAAATTTTAATTGAAAATAAAGGTATTTTGAAAATTGAAAAATTAATATTTTAATTCATAAATGGAGTCATTTGTTTTTCATTATATATTGTAGACAATAATTTGGCTAGAGGTAGGCCTCTATAGAGTGTTGAACTTAAAATTCGAAAGAAAGACCGTTATTTTCAAAATATATATGTTCTCCATTTAATGACTCAATTAATGTAGATGAAATTGTATACAGTAGATACATATAAACTATATTCTTTTTAACAGTAGACTTACTTTCGAAATAATTCTTCCCATAATTGGAATCCTAATTTTTTTCTGATAAAATTGATATTTTTACATCAAAAAATGATATTTCTTGATTTTTTTCGTGAGCAATTCTTATATTTGATCTCCACTTAAGTGTAGCGTCATATTTTAATGATAAATCAAAATAAAAATTGTAAGTCGATCATAATCCAATTGACAATTATTATTTGTTTGAAATAAAACGAAACATTTTGTTTTCAAAAAAAACAAGCGAAAATTATTTGAATATTGTTTCTGTATGTGGCTTCCTACTATTCTGGTTCTAGTCAAAAATTCGTTGATAATGAAATTGAAAAAAAAAAACAACTGATGTAATAATAACTGTGTTTTTAAAAGTTTCATAAAAGTTTGAAATTTATATCAACCTTCGTTGAAAACATTTTATGTTTTATGATACGAATTTAAATATATTTTCTTTGTATAACATAATCTTACAAAAATTTGAATTTTTACGAAAATATATTTGTCTATGATATGACAAGAACTTACCATCTTCGAAACTGGAAACTATGGTGAATTTTATGTATTTTATTGTATGTCAAATATGATTTTCACGAGTTTTTTTTCTATATTATTATCTGTATTTTTATATTATTTTGTTAAATATTTTATAAAAAATTTTTCGCACAAGGTATTATTACGTGTTTTGTAAAAATATTGGGCATATTTTTATATGAATTTTAGAAAACACTGCACTAAGCGATGTTGAAGAAAAGGTTATATTTGCATTGAAAAATTCTTATGGTGAAAAAGAATCTTCATTTATTATTTATTTATTTTTTTTATCACGAAACGTGATTCACTGATAAATTATTTCAGTTTTGTTTTCTGTTCTGCTTTGTGATTAAAAATTCAATAAAATATTAATTTTATTCTAAAGTGTTTGTATAAAAACAATGATTACTTTTAACTGACTTGGTGTGTTATTCGGTTTGATTTGACGCGTCAAAATTATGGGAAAAAAAGAATTCAAAATATTGAATTGTACTTCATCAATTATTAGTTAATATCTAAGGAGAATTTGAAAAAAATATGAATTTATCGCTCTACCCAATTTTTCTTATTTTTGTTATCGGCTCTGCATACAAAGTGTGACTAAAGCGATGCGTCATCAACACATTTTATTTAATATATAAGACTTGGTGTGTCAACCATGATATTTGTAGGGTTTGTTGTCTATTCGCCTTGACTTCTGTGTGTATTCGTTTGCAAACATATACATACGTTGATATATACACACAAATTGTGAGAATTCGAACCAATGACGTAAATACAAAACAATAATAATAAATTAAAATGACGTATATATTGAAAAAAAAAAATGTCTCGTTAAACGATGAAAGACATGAGCACAATACTAAGTTAAAAACTATTTTAGTTATAATTTATTAAACGTCTATGAATGTATAATGAAAATTCCACTTAAATTTTCCGGAAGGAATAAACCAAACTATCCAAAAAATTACTCAGTATTGAATATGAGTCATCACATTATAAAAAACATTTTCGGAGCATGTTGATATTTCGCGAATGAAGTGAGTCATACTTGATGATTTGACAATATACCAAAATTGTCATAATACAACATTGCCCAAATTGGCTTTACATAAAATTCAATAAACAGAATGATACATATTTTCTGTTCGATATATTCTATAATAGGTACACATCATTTATAGGGGAACTGAGACTTTTACAGATGTCAAATTTTAAATTTAGTACACAATGGAATTATTGAAAAAACAATGAGTTGGAGAAACATTAATACTGATAAATAGACTTACACTAACTTTTTGTAGTACACTGGCCCTGAGAGGTGAATGCGTTTTTCTAATTTCATCACAAGATACTGAATTCTTCGATTTAATATTAATCATTTCGAACTTCATATTTATACACTTTCGTAGACTTAAATGTACAGAAAAAAATTCTGTTTAATTTACAATGTTTCCAATTTCTTTTTTTCTTTTCTTCAAAAATGCAAAGAATTGTATATACGTTTATAATGTTACCACACCTTAGCAACATGAGTATACATTCGTGTACTTATGCCATTTGTGTGTACTTATGCCATTCATTTTGAGCTATTTTAAATAACAGTGAACAGTGTAACTGATGAAATGTTCATAGTAGATGTGTGCGTGTGTTTGTATTCTCGTCAGATTCGTACTGTAAAACACCATAAACAGAGCGCATTGTGTGGCGACATCAAAATCGGTTATCGTAAATAATTTAAACATACTTTTTTGTTTTGTTTTGTTAATCGTTTTAGAGTATCCATGTTGTTTGAAAGCAGCAACAATGAAAAGGATTGGAATTTTGAGTATATAATTGGGAACGTGAGTTGCTGATTTAAAATTAAAATGTCAAGATATTGTCGGTAAGTAAGACTCAAGATATTGTCGGTATTCAAAAAAAAGTGCAATATCGGCAGGAATTAAGACGTAGCGTTGTAGAATAGTTTTTTTAAGTTTTTTTTTTTTGCTTCTGAATGCTAAATGCTGACACTGCCATATTATACAGCTAGCAGAGATAGATTATTATTTAGTATCTGATTTGCAGTGCTCTATCGATTGGATTTGGCATCATTTGATTTGACATCCCCACCAATCCCTCCTCACTTTGTGGTGATACCTTTTTTCTCACCCCAAAAATACATATAGGATCCTATTTAAAGGCTAAGGGGTGGAAAACTACCTCCAAATACCTCTCAATTTAGGGTATTTTTGATTCCCAACCGATTGGCATCATTTATAATAATAATAACTGCACCGAACAGCGTTCCTTCGCCTTGGTGGTTTATTGAAAATAATTTAATTAAATATATATAATATAATGCAATTTGATTTTTATCAAGCATTTTTGAGAGAGAAAATGTAAAATTATTGCTCCTCTCATGTAAATAATATAAATTTCATAAATTAATTTTTCAACTGCTTAAAATTTCTATAATCCATAACAAATTTTTGTATTTATCTGCTTTGCTTTAAATAATTCTCTATTCTCAGTTTTACTGTTGATAAATTTACTTCTAAATCAATCAAATTTTTATCACTGTTTTGCAATTTTTTGGTATAAAATTCGTTGAATGTTGTAAGCATATAATTTATTGGCTCATATTTTGTGTAATCAGTTCTCCTAATTGGTAGATCAAATAGTGGTGTTGCTCTGGTATCATGTGCTGGATCGTAATATTTCATACTGTTTGAAACATAAGTTGACTTTAAATCTCCGTGAATAATTTTGAAAATAAAAGACACTTGCGCCATCTTGCGTCTCTCCTCAAGAGTAATCATTTGCAGAAATAGCAGCCTGTGTTCGTATTTTGGCAGTCTAAAATCGTTCCAGGCCATTCTCCTCAGAGCATATATTAAAAATTGTTTTTGTATTGACTCTATTCTTTTGCACATATTGTCGTAGTGTGGATTCCATATTTCAGATCCATACTCAATAATCGGTAATATAAATGCAAAGTAAAGGCGTTTTAAAGTCCATGGGTCGACAAAATCCCTGCTGTTGAATTTTAACCAAGCCAATCTTGATTTTGCCTTTGCAACAACATGCTCGATGTGTGATTTGAAATTCATCTTCACATCAAGCAATACTCCCAAGTCCTTTATTACCTCTACTCTTTCAATTTGCACGCCATCTATGTTGTAATTATATTCATATTTCAGTGATCCACGATGATATGATATTATTTTTGTTTTGTTAACGTTCAACTTTAATAAATTGCGTTCATAGTAATTTGCCACACGATCCAAATCCTCTTGAAGATGAATGCAGTCATCTTCTGATTTTATACATTTTGAAATCTTGGTATCATCAGCGAATGAAAGGATGCAAGATTTGGTCACGACGAAAGGTAGATCTATCACAAACATGATGAACAAAGTTGCGCCAATGGGATAACCTTGACCAGTACCAGAATTTACTTCAATTGGGTCAGATTTGGTATCTGCTATCTTGACTATTTGTCTGCGTCCAGACAAATACGATTCGATCCATTTTAACAGCTGTGTATTCAATCCCATGATGTTTAGCTTTTGAATTAGTAATTTGATATTCACAGAATCAAAAGCCTTTGCGATGTCCAAATATATGGTGTCTGTTTGATGTCCCTTTCCCATGTTGATTATCGTATTCGATGTAAATTCTGCCAAGTTCGTTATCGTTGACCTATTTTTGATGAACCCATGCTGACTTTCGTGTACTATGTTCTTTAGATATTGATTGAGATGGTTCGTGACGATCGAATCTAGAATTTTTGACACTATACACTGAAGAGCGACACCACGGTAATTTTGAACGTTGTTTCTGTCACCGTTTTTGTGAACCGGTCTGACAAAAGACGTTCTCCAAATCTGTGGTACAGTGTATGTTTCAAGAGATTCTCTTAACAATGTTGTGATTGGCCCCCGCAATGAAACCAAACAATGCTTGATAAATTTATTTGGTATTTCATCGGGACCACTGACTAGATCATCCGGAAGCATGTCAATTTGTTGTCCAACAAGCTCTTCAGTTATTTCAATCGGTGATATTTCAGCACAAATGTTGCTAATATTTTCAAACTCCGAGCTATCCAATTGTAGATTTCCCTTCAAAGAGCTGTAGGCTGAAGCAAAATGCTTTGCAAAGAAACCAGCGATCGTAGACTGGTCTTCTGCCCTCATATCCAGATAAGACATTTCATGAGGCAGATCATCACTTTTCCCTTTTTTGTAATTCACATGTCTGAAAAATTTCTTTGGATCATTGTCTATCAGATTCTCCATCTCAATTCTGTAATCTTTGAGTGCTGACCGTGCACTGCGTTTATATTCTCTTCTTAATTGTTTAAAATCTTCTACTGATTCAATTGTTTTGACCATATTTTTAATCCGATGAGCTTTGCTGACTTTGTTTTTCAACTCGATTAGTGGCCTATTAAACCATATCGGTTGCTTCCTGATGATTTTTGTTTTTAACTGGACATGATTTTCGATTGTTGACTTTATAATTGTATAGAAATTGTTTAGTTTTATTTCTAATGAATTTGTATCGAATTCCTTAATCCAGTTTACATCTAGAAGTGACTCATTTATTTGTTTATAGTCAGCATTTATGTAATCTCTATATGTTTGCTTAGTTTCAACTGTTTTGATGACAGGCTCATTATATTTGATTTCGATTGCATTGTGGTGCTTCTCAAAATTCAATAAATGAAAGTCACTCATTGTGCATTGAAACAGCTCAACATCATTTGTCCAGATCAAATCAAGCATACGACCATTTTGGTTGTAGCATTTGTTTATCTGAAGAAGACCAAGATCGTAGCAAGTATCCAGCACTATCTTCTCTTTTTCACTGGCCGCATTGATAGCAATTGCTATGTCCGGGTCCTCATTATCGTCAACAAACCAAATCAATTTGGGCAAATTAAAATCACCGGAAACTACTAAAACATCATTTAT